ACACTGAGCCCTGGCGGCGGCTAGAGCGGGAGCGCCCAAACCTCTCAGTAGCAGCGGCTTTTAAAAAAAATGAGTAAATTATTATTATTTTTTTTAGAGACTTTGGTTCACAGCAAAATTGGGCAGGACGTGTGGAGGTTCTCACATCCGTTCTTGCACCACCCCCACCTCCTGTACTATCAACACCCCCACCAGAGCGATGTATTTGTTTTAAGTGATGAATCTGTATTGACACATCATCATCCGTAGTCCATGGTTTCCATCGGGGATCACCCTTGGCGGTGTACATTCTGTGGGTTTGGGCAAATGTGTAATGACATGGATCCATCATTATGGTACCAAGCAGGGTATTTTCACTGCCCTACAATCCTCCGTGCTTTGATTATTCACTCCTCCCCCGACTCTCTACCCCCTGACAACCATGGATCTTTTACCATCTCCATAGCGTTACCTTTTCTATAATGTCATATAGTTGGAACCATCCAATATGTAGATTTTTATTGACTTCTTTTACTTGGGTAATGTGCATTTAACTATACGTGTTCCTCCATGAGTTCCTAGGGCTTGACAGCTCATTCGTTTTTAATGCTGGATAATATCCCAATGTCTGGATGGACCGCAGTTTAATGATCTATTCACCCACTGAAGGGCATTTTGGTTGCTTCCAAGTTTTGGCTATTAAAATAGAGCTGCTGTAAACATCAATGTGCAGGTTTTTGTATGGACACAATTTGTCAACTCATTTGGGTAAGCACCAAGGAGTGCTATTGCTGGATCCTATGGGAAAGGGTTTGTTTGGTTTTGTAAGAAACCGCTACACTGTGTTCCAAGGTGGCTGTAACCTTTTGCATTCCTACCAGCAATGAAGGAGAGTTCAAGTTGCTCCACGTCCTTACCAGCATTTGGTTCTGTCCGTGTTTTGGATTTTGACCATTGTAATAGGTATGTAATGGTGTCTCATTTTAATTTGCATTTCCCCAGTGACATATGATATGGAGCATATTTTCATAGGCATATTTGCCATCTTCTTTGGTGAGGTGTCTGTTCAGCTCTCTGCCCGTTTTTTAACTGGGTTGTTCATTTCTTATTGTTGAGTTCTAAGAGTCCTTTGTATATTTTGGATAACAGTTCTTTATCAGGTACCTCTTTTACAATATTTTCTCCCAGTCTGTGGCTTATCGTCTCATTGCCTTCATGCAGCAACTTTTAAAACACGGATTTTCCAGGCCCTTCTCCAGACCCGCTCTCTCTGGGGGGGAGGGGGACCAGGAACCCTGAACTATAAAGATTCACATATAGGAAGGTCGAGGCCAGCGCTGGGAGCCTCCGCAAGGCGAAGTTGGAATACAGGAGATCAGCCTCAAAGGTAGACCAGGGCCAGATGGGGAGGAGGTACTTGAATGCCCTGCTAAGTAAGGAAGGTGGCATTGAAGGCCCTATTTTTTTTATTACAAGGCTCAATAAACATCTTAGGCTAAATCTTACAGGCAATGGAAAGGCACTGAGGATACTGAGGGAAAACCAAGTCATGATCCAACCTTTGTTTTAGGCAGAACATTCTGGTGATAGTGTATAGAAAGCTTTGAGCATATTGGAAGCATTAGACCAGTTAAGAAATCATCAGAATGTCCCTGGTGACTGGTGGTAAGTCCCTCAGCCAGGATTGGGCAGTGATGGAGAAATAATTTCCATTCAGTTCAACATAGCAACTATTTCTTTAATATGTTTTCTGGACTGAGCACTGAGCACTGTACCAGGTTTTAAGGATCCTGGAATGAAATAAAATACTGTCGCCTATCATCAAGGAACTCACAATCTGTCCAGATTCATCAAAAATAATTAGGTTGAGAAAAAGGGAACTGGTAATCGGACAGTGTGGTGGACTGAATTCGGTCCCCCTGCAAATTTACGTATTGCTCTTCTGATAGGACTGTATTTGGATATGGGGGCTTTATGGAGGTGAAGTTAATAAAGTCATAAGGGTGGGGCCCTCTGCCAATAGGATTGATGCCCTTAGAAGAAGGGGAAGGGACCACAGAGGAAAGTGTCAGGTTCACAGAGAGGAAAGCCCATGTTAGGACACAGCAAGAGGGTGCTGTCTGTCAGCCAGAACAAGAGGTCTCACTAGGAATCAGTTTTGCAAGCACCTTGATCTTAGACTTCCAGACTCCAGAACTGTGAGAAAATAAATGTCTGTTGTTTAGGACACCTAGTCTGTAGTATTTTGTAAGGGCATTTGGTGCAGAATAATACAAAGTCTCAAATGTTTATTCATGGAGTGACATAGACAGTATTAGTCAGGCCATTGCTTGTACCTGTCTCAAGCTCGGAGGAGAAAACCTGGGCTGGCGTGGGCTGCATTTACTGAAGACCAATCAAGTGCAGAGAGAGGGAGAAGAAGGCCTAGAACCAAGCCTTAGAAATGCCAGCATTTAGGAGCGGTGCCTAGGATTAGTAGGAGCTCTTGGTTAGTTCGTGTTGAGATGTTGCTGACTTACATGGCACGTGGCCCTTCATCCTTGTCTCCATTCTCAGAAGTATGATGGGGCAGAGACGGTAGGGCATGAACTCTAGACTCACCGACAGAGCCAGCATTCAGGTGTGAAACTCATGGAGTCTTTCTGACTTACCGTGAATTCATTTGCTCGTCGATTATTTGCTAGCCCATTTCATCTGTTGGATTCTTGCACTATTATTATTTAATGTTTTATATATTAGTGTTCTGTCTTTCGTTAGAATAAAAGTTCCTTGAGGACAGGAGTGGAACTTGAACATCTTTGCTTCTGCTCTTTATCCTTAGCACTAGCGTACAGCCAACCTTCCAGTGGGCGCAGGACAAATATCTGCTCTGAATGATTATAAGAAGAATGGTTACATTTAAATAATCATTTTTTAAGCTTTTGCGAATTAAAAAAAATTAATCAAAACAAGATACACTTAAAAAAGACAATGGGCATTTTAAAGCATCGAAGGGGTATTAGTAGAAATCACAATATTTTTAAAAAAACTCCAAAAATTAAGAGCTCATGGCAGGGGATCTCCTGATTCAAGAAAGAGTTGGGCACTGAACTAGATTGCAGACAATGAGGGTTGGGGCAAGAGGGAATCCGCGAGGCATGGCTGTGGCCTGCAACGCTCTTTATGGCTCCCTGACACCTCTCTGATGGGGTTAAGTATTTACATTCAGCCAGATTCTCCCCTCTGACTGCAGGCAACCCTCTGGGAGCCCGGGAAAGAGAGCAACCCTCCCTGCAGGGGGCCCAGCAGGGGCCGGAGGATCTGCCCTCCCCCTCCTGCATCTGAAGAGGGCCTGCCTCAGGGAGTTTATGGCAGCCTGACCTCCAGCCTTTGGGTTGGAGAATCTGGCCGCTTCTGTACCACATAAAAAGGGCAAGTGCATTCATTATTATTATATTATTATACAATGTATAATATATAATAGCAATTATGCTGTCAGCAGCCAGAGTCTCTGACCACAGATCAGAGGCCGGGGTGACATAAATCCACCTGGTGAAGTCTTTGGAGATTCTGTGTGAAGGTGAGAGGGTTCAGCTTCGTCTTTAATGGAGGCTCTCAGGGAAGAGGTTCTTCTACGGGCAACTTTGGAGATTAAATCTGGGGGGACTGGGAGGATCTGGACGAACAGTGTTTAGTGTGTCCGGGGTGTGACGCTAAAGAGGCCACCATGGCCTCCTCTGAGCCATAAAATGCTAATGGCTCTCAACCTTGCCCAGGATGAGCGCAGACGAGGAGCCACCCAGAGGCCTGGAAGGAGGGAAGGGGCCGCCTCCAACTTCTGGGGTCAGATTCTTTACAGAAAACCTGGCCAGCTTGGGTTTCACTTTCTGCTTCCCTGCTTCCATCCGTGTCTTTGTCCAGGCTTTACCCAGGCCCCCTGCCGGGTCTGAGGTCAGAGGATCAATGGCCGCCTGACTGTGGCTGAAATGGCTCCTCTGCGGGGAGCCAGGAGCAGATTTCAGGGAAGCAGAAAGGGTCCTCTAGGGCCTTTATGCCCAGGGCCACGTGCTGAGCTGTGAAGCCCCCCCCCCCGCCCCGCCCCCGCGTCTGTGGGTGCCGGGCGCCTGCACCTACACTTGGCAGCCCTGTGATGTCGGTGGAATGCTTGCGCCGGCCTTCCTCTTAGAGGGCACTTAGATGACCGTCTTCCCCAAAGTAGAAGAAGCCACCCCAGCAGGCTCGGGCTGAAACAGCCCAGCTGGCCTCCCTTTATAGCCAGCCCGACCCCCCAGAACCCTGGGACTTTTTAGAATGAAAACAGCGGTGCACAGAACAGGCTCGCCTGGTATTTGCAAAGAGGTGATTTACTGTCAAAGCCTCTACCCCCTTTTATCTCTCCCTCTGCCGCACCCCGTCACAGAGTCGCGCTCTCTCTGTGAACCAAACGCCCCAGGAAGCCCACGGCAGAAAAAGCTCTTGAGAATAGGAATAACTAAGCGGAGTTTCATCTGAACACCTTTTCTGGGGCAAGGGTAACAAGAATTATTCAAATGCAATCATAAAAATGAGGCCAGCCTGGCAGGAATAGGGTGGGGGCGGGGGACGGAGTGAGGATGGAGGTAAGGATTTCCTGCCAGTTTTAAGTTTTGTAATTTCTGGGGGAATTTTTTGGTGTCCTCGTCTCCATCCGCTCAGCACAGGATGTCTCCGAGCTCTGCCCGGGTGGTTTGCCGAGAAGGGCTTGGCACGGGGGCAGGGGCTGTTTTCCCGCGGTTCTGGGGGTCCGCCGCGTTCGCACGTCTGAGGCCACCGCGCGGTCTGAGGCTTCCTGCCCGGCGTGGCTCTGCGCGCGCCCGCCCGCCCGCGGGAGCAGGCCCTGGCCCGGTGTCTCAGAAAAGCCTCCAGCAGAGGGAGACACTCCGGCGGCTCCTCGGCCTGGAAAGCGCCGGGCCGGAGCGGGTGGGGGTGGTGGGGGTGGGGAGAGGGGAGTGGGGAAAGGGGAGGTGGGGGGGGCGGGGGCGGGTCCCTGAGCGCTGACGTCCTGAGCAGTGCTGGGAAGTATAGGCTGTGTTGTCACGCCGGTGTCAGTCTGATGAAGATTGGCATCAGGTAAGCTGTCATTCATTTCCATGTCAGAGCCGCTTCTGCAGGCGGCGCGGCTGCGGGCGGCTGCCTCGGAGCGCGCGTGTTTTATTCCGGTCCCCAAGCCGGAGTATTATTCATTGCGACAGGGCGAGGAGGAGAGCGAGCGAGGGAGGCAGCGGGAGGAGAGAGGGAGGCGGCAGGGAGGAGGGAGCAGGGAGCGGGGAGGGAGCGCGCAGAGAGAAGCTGGGGAAGCGCCGGCGGACGCGGAGCGGGGCGAGGCTGGGGAGGAGGCGGTCCGGCGCCCGGCGCCCGGCGCGCAGCCCCGTGGCGGCCGCTGCCCAGCCCTTTAGGGCAGGGGCCGGGCGCGCATTGTCCGCGCGGGAGGCGGACCGCCGGCCCCAAGGCCCTGTCGCGGGCGGGTGGGGAGCTGCGCCGGGGACCTAGAGCAGGGACGAGCGCGCCGGCCGGAGCCCGGAGCGGGCTGGTCGGGGCCGGGCGCTCCTACGGCGAGGCCAGCTCCGGGTTCTCTTTCTCCCGGTTTCGGGCGCCCTTCGGGCGGGCGCCACCAACCTGGGGCTGCCTTTGAACGGCTGGAAGCGGGAGCAGCCCCAGACTCGGGCCGGGCGACTGAAGTCGGAGCCACCGCCGCGTCCGGCCTGGGCGAGTGGGGTTTGCAGGCGGATCGGAGGGGACTTCGAAACACGAGTCAGGGAAGCTGGAATCCCTGGGGCCAGTTTAGGGGCCCCAGCCCCGCAAGGAGCGATGATTTGTAGGGTTATGGGCTTTGGGCGGATTTTGGGGAGTCTTCGGTGAGGTGAGGGAGGCGTGGGCCCCCCTGCGAGGTGCGGGAGTTAGGAGCCCGCCTGGATGCAGTCCTCCCGGCACGAGTTCGTAGAAGGGGGGAATGAACAACAGAGGTCCGTGTGGCAGGGTCTCCAGTCGGCCGCGCGAAGTTTGCGGCTCTTGCGGGGTAGGTGTGCGGGCTTTCCCAGCTCCCGAACCCGAGGAAGAAACGGGCGAAGCGGGCTTCCTTTCCGGGGTCTGTCTGCGCGGGCTCGGGCTGGGAGAGGTGGTGCATCGGCCCTGAAGTGGGGCCGGAGCTCGGGGCCAGGCTGGAGTTTGGGGTGTGGGGTCCAGGCTGATTTCAGAAGCGCGATTGAAGGGCCGCTGAGAAGTTCAGGGATCGGATCTACACCCCTGCCGGAGCAAGGGGCTGGAGGTGGGCGTTGGGGACCTGGAGTTAATCCGAGGCTGGAGTTGGAGGAACGGGTAGCTTTCTTTAGGATTTAGGCACAGGATTACGGCTTTTTATCGGGGTTGAGGCTATTGAAATTTGGGAATGGTCGTGCGCGCTGGTTCTCACGCTCCGTGGGTGGAAAAGCATGAAGGGAGACGAAAGAAGTTGTTGATCCGAATGGTGGTAGGCGAGCCCCGAATTTCTGCTGCTTCTCCCGGAAAGAGCATCTAGAAGAGAGGACTTGAAGCGCACAGGACCCGGTCCTAGGAGAAAGATTCCAGGAAGCGGACAAATCCAGGGGACGTTCTGGGCGAAGCGACAGGGCAGCCTCGCGGGGCTGGAGGTGGATCCGAGGACCGTGGCGGCTCCTCGGGCTCCGGGAGTCACTCGGGGGTCTGCGGGCGCCGCGCAGCGGGCCGGGCTCGGCTGCCCGCAGGGGCCGCGGCCTGCGCGGGAGCGCCAGCAGCGAGGTGCCGCATCGCGCCCGGGGAAGTCTGGGCTGCGGCCGAGGGCCAGGCGGGGGCTCGAACTCCGGCACCCTGACTTTGCTTGCCGGCTCTGGACCCGCAGGCGTTGCGGCCCGGTCCGGAAGCCCAAGAGCGGGGCCTCAGGAGCGATGCTCCGTCTGGTAAAGCGGGGAGCTCGGAGGTCCCCTACCGTGTCCCCGGACTTCTCCAGCGTGTTAACTTCTCGGATATCAAATGCTGTCCAACTGGTGGAAGCCAAAAGCTTCTCATTGTAGGTAGCTTTAGGTGCCCCCTCCCTCAAACTGAGACAATGATGGTGTTCAAACACAAAAACATAAATTACGCGAAGCCTAACCCCTAGACCTCCCGTTTACTCTGCCAGTCTGGCCTTTGCGAGGCCTCGGGACCTTGGGGGAAGGGAGGGGTCTCCTGTTTCTGGACTCTCGGTCTCCCACTCGAGCTGCACCCGCGACTCAGGTTCAGGCCTACCTCCGGGCCGGGAGAGAAGCCTCGACCGACCGGACCCGGGAGGGAAGCTGTCCCTCTGGCCAACTGGGGAGGCGGTGTGTTAGGGGGTGTACTGAAGCGGGGTTTGAAATTTCCTTCTCGCAATCTTGAGCTCAGCCTCCCAGTCCTCGCACCCCTCGCTGGGGCTCCCAGAGCAGGCTTCCGGGGCGCAGAAGACGCGCGACCCGCGAGCGGCCGCAGCGGCCCGGGGCGCGGCGACCGCCCGCGGCGGAGCTCCACGCTGTTGTTCTGCAGGCTTGGAATTCTTGCACTCTCTCCCGCCGGGAGCCTGAGTGCGGGAGGGAGCCGTGACCCTACGGAGACTCCCGGTCCCCGCCTCCCCTTTGTGAGCTCCGAAGGCCTGAAAGCTGAGAGAAAGAGAAGCTGCTTAGAATAAGGGGCATGGGGTTACTGGAGAGATGGGCCGGCCACCGCTCACAGTAAAATGCCTCGTGCAAATTGCACTGAAGTGCACCGAACTCGAGACTGGCTGTTTTATGATCCTTTCTGGGAGTTTACTGCTCTCTGCTTTTAAGTCTATAGATTGCTTTAAGTTAATGAAAGTGCTGCTTTCAAAAGGGGCTTTTATTGTGGGGCCATGATGAGTCCAGTACCTCCCCTTTACTCTCCCAAAATGGTCCTGCTTATAAAGGGAGTCTCCTGGAGTTCCCACATGGACGGAGCTTGGGGCTGGGCGCCATTTGACACTGAGGATTAATAAACATCCATGTCCAAGTCATTCAGAAAAATCGAGTTTACTTCTTTCCCAGTCCAGTGTCATCTGTACGTTCTTACCTTGCATGTTGGACTTTCACGGAGCCTGACTCGAGATGTTGCTCAGTGCCTCCCCTGACACCCTTCTCAGCATTGCTTCATACAGGCCTGACCCTGTTCAATGAAACGCCAACTGGATCTCAGGATTTCAACTGGCTGCCAAATCAAACTGCAACTGAAATATTTACTTGGGCGCTGGGGGAGGGGCTTCGCCTTGCTTTTAGTAAGATGGATGTGTTAAAATGTCAGGGAGAAAGTCTGGAAACCTTGAGAAGAAACGTGGAAAGCTATTTTTCAGCACTTTTCCCTTTTCCAATTTATTTGGCACAAAAGGTGAGATGACAAAGTTTTTCAACTAGGTCCTAACACAGAAACTGCAGTGGGGCTGGGCTGTGGCTTTGACCGCATGTCATAACCATTTAAACTGTGGTTAGTTGTTCAAAGCTTCTCCAAGCTGGGTTTCATTAACTCTACACCAGTTGCCTGGAAGTTCAGTAGCAATAAATTGTATAAACACATTTGAAGTAAGTTAGTGATGAAATAAGGAGAATTACTGTCTTGTGAGTGGAGAATCTTGAATTCATGGAGTTCTGGCTTAACTGGAAACATACCTCTTCTCCCTCGGCCTTGATGTTTATGGGTACACAGGAGCGCGTGTGGAATTTCTTTCTGCCTTGTCCATCTTCAACCTGGGGCTGTAACTCATTAGGGGACCGGGGCATGCCTAGAAAGCAAAAGGCTGAGTTTTAAAGGGGCTTCTATTAGCCTGGTTTAGAAACCCAACCCAACCCATCAGCCTGACCTCCTTACTCTGGGCGAATGCGACGCGCAACGTGAACAGCGGCAGGGCAGACCAAATTAGATTTTTAAATGTTAGCGGCTTAATAATACTCTGTTGTTAGCAATTGAATTTGTTTTTATTAAAGAAACAACCTATAAAGTTTATAGGCTTCCCGCATGTTGCAAGATTTCCATGCTATTTATTTAGCGCCCCCCCCCATTCTATCTCCAATTTCAGACTTTTGTTCCCTATTTATTTAATTTGGTGCACATTTTCTAAATTAGTTTGAGGAAGGTGAGAAATGCTGTTCTAAGTTTTCCTTTTCCTATGCTGTGTGGCACAAGGCCTGCGATGCTGAGATATATATAAACGTGTGATGCAATTGCTAGAGGTGACGGCATGGGAACCAGAGCGTCTGATCAAACAAAATGCAGATCAGAGTGTGGAGACGGGGAAAGTGAATCATTGCTGAGCCAGCATTAGCCTTGAGTCCAGCCAACGTGCCACACTTTGCATAAAACACTTCACATGAGATTCATGACTTATTGAAGATTGCATTCTATTGAGAAGCAGAACTTGGAGGGAGGAGCTGCACTGGCGGGCTCGGGCCAGGCTGCCTGGCCGGCTTGTTGCAGCGGGGATCAGCTAATTTAATTAAATCTAATACCTGGTGGGAACGGAGGAAGGAGGTAATCAAGGTTGGCAGGTCATTGTACTGAGCTAGTGTTTAGGCTGAAGTTTGGGGGCGGACAGCATTACCCCCTGTTACTGCCCGGCAGCACGGCCCCAGTGGGTCACGTGGCCTGTGCATCTTGGTTTCTCCATCTGTAAAATGCGTGTATCGCAGGGATCGCTCCTGGGGCTCTGAGGAGTGAACCCTGCCCGGATCTTCTGGGTGCGCTCTAAATAACAAAGGGAACGGTAGCAGGAAGGCTTCTGAGCAGCGGCCACGGTCTTCTCTCCCCTGTGGCTCCACGGCCTTTCCCCATGATTCTCAGGGGTTCTACGACTGAGGCACTGAGGTGAAAGGGTTGACCTCCTGCCTTTCTTTACATCCTAGAATTTGAAAGCCCTGCTGTGATTCCCAAAACCACCTGCACTTTATCAGGAGGGACAATTAAGTTGCTGCACTGGGGGGAACTGGCACGCTCCCTCCCAGTGGTGCTACCTGGAATAGCTTTCATGCCTCAGATGAACACAGAACCTGGCCTATCAGAAAGCCGGCCCCTTCTCTATGCCATTGGGAAGAAGAGGCCTG